TTCCTGGGGCTGAAGGTTTCACTGTGGGGACAGAAGGAGGGACGGGGACCTGCAGTAGGACCCAGGGGACAGATGCTCCAGGGGGAGGGGCCAGGAGGAAGCCACTCCAAGGTAGGTGTGTACTCACAAGCACACAGAGAGTAGGTCACCGTGACACACTGCCGGATGGGTGCTGGGACACACCGAGACTGCCTGACCTTAGGCAACTTGGGGGGAGAGAGAGCCAGAGCCAAAGGACCCAGCCAGCCAGCCTACCCCAGGCGGGTCCTATCCTAAGCCTCCAGGTTCATCTAAGGTATCTGCTGGCCTCCAAGAAGGCCAGGCTCCAACTGCCCAGCCCCCACCTCCACTCTTCTGCCTTTTGTGCTGAGGAATCCCCCTCCCAGTTCCAAGGTGCCCGCCCAGACGAGGGCACCTTGGCCGGAGGTGAGGAGAATGGAACCTCCCTCCCCTCCCCTCCCCTTGTCTGCAGATGTCCCAGACTATATTTAGCCCAAACCGGGCTGCCAGCCAGATCCAGACTCCCCACTGGCCCAGAGCTGAGCTCCCAGTTTTTATGCAATTAAAACATTAACAGAGAACCACCCCATCCATCCCCCCAACACACACACACACACACACACACACACACACACACAAACACCCTGTCAAAGCAGCAGAGCTCTGAACACTTTGAGGGAGGGCAGCCCAGCTCTGTGGCCACTGATGGGTAAGGGGTGCCCTGGCAGAACGGGGGTATGAAGGGTGTGATCAGACTGACACTTGGGGAGGTGGGGGATGAACTTTTCTAGTTCCAGCCAGAAGGGAAAAGCTATCTAGTGGGGGGGGTCTGGGGAGGGGGCTGCCTGCAGAAATTCCACCTGTCATTTTGCAGCCCCCTCACTGGCCAGCTCCAGTTACAGAGCTAGGGTTGGCAACAGGTGCTGGCCAGGCTGGCAGCAGCCTAATCCCACCCACCAGCTCCTGAGGCTGACAGTGGAGCCTGGAGGTCCAGCAGGGGCCCTTTAGGGCAGGATGCTAAGTGGAAGGATGTATCTCTGCCCAAGGGTAGGCGGTCCATGGCCCTCTGCAGGAGACAGCCCCTGTGTGCTGGAGGGACTGGTGAAGCCAGGGAAAACCTAGCTCTACAGCACCTAGTTCATCTTTCTACTGTGCCAGGCCAGTGGGCGGGCCAGAGTGTGGGAGGTCTGTCTGCTGCCTGCCTCTTCCTTCTCCTCCTTACCAAATTCCAGGAACAGGCAAGGGAAGCTCCAGTTGCGGGAGAAGAGAGCAGGCAGGCAGTCCCAGTGTGGGGGGAGGGGGAGGAAAAGGAGTGAGGACCAGAGAGGGAGGCAGGATCCAGACAAGATCCAGACGAAGCAAGAGACGCCCACACCCAAGCCAGATTGGGGACACACACCAACACTAACACATTCCCACACTCTGGGCCAGGTTCCCCCATATGCTGCCCACCCTGTAGGGACACCCAGACACCCTCAACCAATCCTGCCAATTCCCAGAACACCTCCTTGGACACACAAGGAGATCCAGACCCTACCCCACCCCCACGTCCCACAGAAACCGTGTGGGCTCCAGACAGCAGCAGGAGGGTGGAGAGGGAAACACAGAGGAAGAAAGACAGCAGGCGTCAACTAGGATGTATAGCCAAAGCCCAGCCAGCTGGGGGTATCAGTGACTACACTTCTTTCCCAAGACCCAGTAAGTCAAGACAACCTTGGTTATTTTGCCAGAGGCCTTGCCAGCTTCCCACACTCCTAAAACCACCACCACCACCAGACAGGGGCATGGGGTGCTGGGAGTAGAGATTACTACACCTACTTGTCTAAGGCATATAGGATGCCCATCACCCTAGATCCCCCCACTGAGGGCCCAATGCACCCTCCCCACCAACTGAAAAGAGGTCTTTCCCTGCTCAGACATCCCAGGGGACAGGGATCTGGACATTAAGGCTTATACTGGGCCAGGCCCCACCCTCACACAGTTCTAAGGACCATCCACCCAAAACCAGGGAGCCACGCCAAGAGTGGCCTGGTGAGAAAGACCCCAGAGTGCAGAGGCTGCTTCAGAGACCAAATGGTTAATGGGAAGAGGTGCTCTAGGGTCTGTGTCAATGTCCCCAAAACAGACCTGAAGGCCACTCAGTGTCCTCGCCCCCACACTAGACAGGATGGCAGGAAGGACGTCATGGCATATGTGGGTGATTGTGCCCAGCAGAGGCGGCATAGGGGTAATCAGGATGGGGCTGCCTACAGCTAGCCTCCTGCTGGCTGTCACATGGTTGGGAGTAGGAGGTGAACTAGAAATGTGTCCTGGGGTGGCAGCAGGTGCATTTAGGGTCAGACTGAAGGGACAAAGATTTAGGGCTGTGGCAGGACAGAGTTATTCCTGGTCCAGGGTCTTAGTGGTCAGAACTACCATTAGATCTGAGCTGCCTCAGGAGTCTGGTGTGATGAAACCCCTACCTGCAGTAACGGCCTCCTACACACACCTGCAGTCTCACACCCTCCAAGTACCTACAAATCCACTGTCCTCAGCTCCCAAGGGCCTACTTGAGCCTGACCCTACTGACCTCTCTGTTTCATGGCCCAGACTCCCAGGCAGGACTGATGTTCCAGCTCCTCCCAATGCACCATCTTTCACAGCCACAAACTTCATGACTCCACAACCCCCCTCCTTCCTCCAGGAAGAACCACACATCTAACTCCAAATCCTCTCTCTTGTCATCCCCCCCCAGATTCATCTCTGCTCTCCCCCCAAGGGGAAGCCCAGAAGCTACAAACCACCCACTCCAACCTGGGGCTTCCCCAGCTCACTCTCCCCACAGAGCCCTTGAAGAGTTGGAGAAGTTTGGGGGCCTGAGCCCCAATTTCCTAGCACGATCTGGAGAACCATAAAACCACTTCTTTCCTCAAAAACTTGCTTTGTGAAGCCTTCAGCTAGAGAAAGGGATGACAGACATCCCTGACTCTCCATACTGGTGGGGTTTTCAAGAGCAGAACTGAAGGTTGGAGTAAGCAGCCCATGGGTTAAGGAGACTTCTTGGGAACAATACTGTTGGAGAACACATATCCATACACATGTGCACATGGACAGTGGGCAGAAAGCAGCAATCTGGCTGGGGGGGGGGACTGGTACCAGGTGGGCACAGGAGGTACCCATCCTTCCATACCAGCATGCTGAACGTCCTATCCAGGACAGAATGGACAGTAAAGAAACTTTTCAGTGCTGACTTTATTGTTGTTGTTTTAAATAATTTCCATATGAGGTGGTCCCCACCCCCTGCCTAGCCCACTGTCCCCCTTTCCCACGGAACAGTCTGACAGCAGGGCAGTGCCCAGAGAGGAAAGGGGACACAAACCGATTTGCCAGCCACCCCTCTACATACACACATCTGGCTAGCAGCTTCCAACCCTCATGGGTGGCACTAGATCCTCACTCAGCAAAGCAAGGTCAGTTGGTCTACTCTGTCCTTCCCTCACCCCAAGAGGCTTCCACAAACCCCTAGCAGCACAAGACTCAGGATGCCTCACCTAAGTGCACAGGCTCCCGCACCCAGTTCTGACGGCTCCCCCACACACCACCGGAGACACCAGCTGAGCGGGCCCCGCCCCCCAGGCAGCTCCCTCTGGAGGGGGTGGGCCCCCTGGCTGATTCTCCCCAAACCGCAGGGCGGCTCAGGTAACAGGAGGGAAAGGAGGGGGTAGTCCGTTGGGCATCTGATCTCTCCCCAAACAGGTTTCAAAGTCTTTTTGTTTGGTTTGATTTTGAAGAGAAAAGAGAGCAGGAGTTCCTAGCCGTGGATCTGCCACGGCGGGAGCGCTGGGGACACGCGAGGCAGGCAGACCGCCAGCAGACGCCCCAAGGCTGAGCGCGAAGACGCGGCGCAGACGGACGCACAGAAGGGGCTCCCCCACCTCGCACACGCCAGCGGCGGGCCAGGAAGCCCAGGAAACCCTGGGTCCCCATCGAAACCACCCGGCACCCCGTCCCCGCCCGCAGCTACCATCCAGAGCAGGCCGCGGGGCCCCGTGCGTGTGGGAACCCAGGGCTCCCCAGGATTCCCGGGGAGAGGTTACCTCGAAGCAAGGGATGCAGCCCGTCCGGGTGTCCGCGGGCACAGCGTCTGCCCTAAGCCGGCGCCACGGTGCTGCCTGGCGTCAGGGATGTGGGGTCCCCAGAGACAAGCCGTCTGGGGGGCCGCGGCTCAGGGGCGCGGGGCGACGGCAGCGGCCATGGCGAGTCACGTGCGGAGGCTGAAACTTTACCCAGAGCCCCAGACTGGGGGGGGGGGGGGGGGGGGGGGGGGGGGAGGGTATGAAGCTGGGGTGGGAGGGAGGCCCCCTCTCGCAGGTCCGCCCCTGTCTGTCACCGGCCAATCGCTAGCCAGGGGCGGGCTCTCAGGCTCACCCCCGCCCCTCGCTCCTTAATAGACCCAGAGAAGGGCGAGTCTTAAAGGAGCCGCTCCCAGCTGAAGGCCGGACCGTGGGAATCTGGGAGAATCCCTCCCTCTCTCAGTGCCAGAATAAGAGCTTCTGAGCAAGGACGGGGGTGAAGTTCTGCAGAAAGCATGGAAACAGGGTTTGGTGGCGAAAGGACCGCCATGTGCAGTACCCTATGCACTCCCTTCCTCAAGCGGCATGCCACACTCATAGGGACACACACACACACACACACACACACACACACACACACACACTCCTAAACCTGGGAAGAGAGGAGGTGGTTACATATGGAAGTGAACTCACTGACTCCTGCCTCAGCTGTCAAGTCTCTGTCTCTCATAATTATAATCCTCCGGGACCAGCTGGAACTGAAAGCTATGTGACCTTGACCAAGTCACTTCCTTTCTCTGGACCTTAATTTTTCTCATGTGCAGAAACGGAGTATAAGAGTGGCTCTCCACACACAGGTTTTTTCTTCTCAAACACTTCTCCAGCTCCAGTGGGTTGGAGGAATTATGGCCCAATCCAACCCCTCGGAGTACCTTGAAGTACCCTCACCCTAAAAGGCAGCTCTTTGATCGGCCAAGGGCACCATTTCATGCTCGAAGACTCCCACTCCAACTTCTTCCTTTCTAACCAAGGCTGGAGGAGCAGCTTTCATTAATTTTCCAGCTGGACAGGATCTGAATCTCCCTCTTTCTGCAGACCTCAGTCCCCAGCGATCACAAGCCCCTTCCCAGCCTGTGGCTCCGTGTGAGAAGCTCACATCCCCACCGTTGGAAACCCACTGGAGGGGCGTTCACTATGGAGCACCTCCCTCACCGCGTTCCTGGGGAGAGAAGTGGCAAGTGACCCCACAGGACATCCCACTGGAAGGGGAAGTGCCACACGCCCAGGCCTCCACCCTAGTGAAGAAACGCTCAGTCTGACCGGGTTGCCCGCTTTACAGACTAGGAGGTCAGAGGCCGGCTCGGGATTTTCTCCACTGTCGCATCGGTTGCTGAGCCGGGTCTAGATCTGGGGTATCTGCTTGTCTTTCTAGGGCTTCGCTCCGCAGCCTTGGAAGGTAGCACCGACCCGGTCGGTGGAACTATCTGCCCCCGAGGTCCGGCGCAAAGTGGAGTGGAGCAGCGCTTCCCCAGGTCCCTTCCCGCCCCGTTGGGCCAAAGCCTTCTCCCGCTCCCGTCTGGATTTCCGTCCGCTGGTGCGAACCGCCCGCCCAGCCCCTCCCGCCCCGTCCCGTCCAGATCCATCCGCAAACATGCGCTCAGCAGGCAAGAATGCGCCAATGGCTCCCAGATGTGGACGCCGACGCTTAACTCCTTCCCCCCCATAGCCCCCCTCCCCCCCCAGGGCCTTCCAGCTAGAGCCCCACCAACAGCAGGGGCCCTCCGCCCAAGTGATGAACAAGCCTAAGGGAGGGCCTAGCTCCGGGCCACCTCCAGCTCCCACAGGCCCCTCCCAGCCTAGATCCTAGCAGCTGAGGCCACATGGGAAGGTTCATGAACAGGAAAATACAAGTGTGCAGGCACACAGCTACACTGCCTCCCACGTGGACGGCCTGCAGGTACACCTGCCAGGGTATAGATTCGGGTACACTAGTGCATAGAGATTTGGGCACTCTAGCACAAAAGCATAACCCTACACACATTCATGGAGTGAAAGTATACACCTCCAAGACACATGTATGCATATCCAGCACCAACAAGCACCTACAGACATGTACGCATCCAAGGGCATGAAGCAGAAAGTGAGGCATGCTTCTAAACAGACAGAGCAGAAGACACATGTGCAGATGATGGAGGAAATTCTGACACACACAAACTGGCTCCCTATAGGGGTCAGAGACTCCTACAAGATTGGCACCCACATGGATACAGTCTGAACACCTTTGAGAAACTTCTTTCCTACTCAAGGCACCCAGTACCATGGGTCCAAGGTCCAGCCCTACCCAAGCATGATTGCACAAGTCAGGAGAGGTCCCTAGGTAGGGGGCCAGGAGCCTTCAATCCACAACAGCAGCTGAACACCAGCTGTGCTGGCCTCAAAACAAGTCTCCCACCCTCTCCTGCTAGGGACCCTGCCACAAGAGGAGAGGAAGAGTACTTGGAACTTAGCAAGAGACTAGCAGAGCAGAAGAACCCCAGGGCTGCCTTGCCCTTTAGGAAAGACACTGCTAGGACCTCCCCTTTTCCTGCACACAGAAGATAGGCTGTGGAGGGTGGGGGAGCCCCACTGGTTTCCCAAGAAAAGGGTCTCCCTTCAGACTAGATAGGTAGTGACAACTGCCCAGTGACAGCTCCAAGTCATCAAAGGAGATTCAAGGTAGCCTAGGAGGGCCCACACTTAGAGCAAAATAAGGCCTCCTTCTCAAGCCTGTGGGAACTCCTGAAGATCAACATTAAACTGGGTGTGGTAGCACACACCTGTAAGCTGTAATACCAGCACTTGGAAGGCTGAGGCAGGAACACTGCTTCAAGTTCGAGGCCAGCCTGGGCTATGTAGTAAGTTCCAAGCCAGCCATGGCTACAGAGTAAGATCTTGTTTAAAAACAAAACAACCAAAGAATAGCATTAAGGCAGGCACAGAAGCATAATCCCAGCACTCAGGAGATTGAGGCAAGAGAATTAAGAGTTTGAGGGGAGCACTAAGTAGAGTCTGAAGAGGGGATAGGGAACAATTGTCCCTACAAGGCCACCTAGAGGTAGGTGAGCTGGGAAGTACCAGCCAGATCCAGCCCTGACTCCAGCCCTGACTCCTCCTCCCCAGCCTCCTAGCTTAGCCCAGAAGGGGCAGGACTCCTGATTCCATTGTGCAGAATAGGAAACTGAGGCTCAAAAAGAAATCATCAGCCAACTGGATGTGTTGGTTCATGCCTAAAGTCCCAACACCAGAGGGATGGAAGCAGCAGAATCACCATAAGTTTGAAGTAAGCCTGAGCTACATAGTAAGTTCCAGGCTAACCTGGGCTATAGAATAAGAATCTGTCTTACACAAAACAAAATAAAAATGAATTGCCTTACCAAGGTTATAAGGTTTGTCAATGGCAGAGCTGAGATTCAAACCTGAGGCCTTCTGCTTTGAGATTCTACCACCCACCCCATTTCCTCCAAATCAAACACATCCCACCCCACTCTGGAGGCCACTGCCTCTTCCTTTACCTCCTCAGCAGAGCATGTGGGAGAAACGCCATCCTTGCCTGGCTCTACAGGTTTAAGGGTGGGGCCAGGACACCACAGAGATCAGAGAAGGTACTGGGGGCAACACACATAACCCTCCACCTCCACCCTAGTATGGTGCCCACCTGCCAGGCAGGCATGGCTGGGTGACTCAGCCACATCCGGGGGAGATGTCAGGGCAGTGACTCACCTACCGAGAAGAGAAGAGCTGAGTCTGGCACTTTGCCAGCCCCAGGACAGAACCGACTTAGTCACCACCTGGGCCATGCTGCCCAATAGGCATGGTCTAGGGATCAGGGACAGGGGCAGGCTGTGCCCTCCATGGTTACATGCGCCCCCTGGTGAAGGCAGGCCACATCTTAAAGTGAGCTGTGGCTCTGCCAGTCACTGCCCCCTCACACCAGGCTTTGTTTTAGTGCCAACAAGTTTAGTGAGACCCCTGGGCTGGTCTGCCCTGAATCTTCTTAGCCTACCTACCCCGTGCCTGTCACTCACCACCTACTCTCTTACTTGCCCCACCTCCTCTTGCCACCCAAGTTGTACCCAGGCTATGCATCTCCTTTAACATGTCCTGGCAGCACTCCTGCCCCCACAGCCCCTCTTGACCCACCCATACACACTTATACACACACACACACACACACACACACACACACACACACACACACACACACACACACCTGCCAGCCTGCTGAAGTTGTTGAGCAGGAGGGAAATCAAGGGTGGGGTTGGGGATTGAGTTACCAAGGCCAATGGGGTAGGTTGTCACCCAATCCCTTCTCTAGCTCATTCCCCCATCTCCCTCACCCACCTGCCTCCCTCCCTACCTCTGGCTGGCAGCCTACTACCCTTTGAGCCCCTCCATCCCACTCCACCCAAACTAGGAAATAAATGTTCAGGAGTATTTGTCATGCTAAGACCAGCCCAGTATATGAGAAAAAGAGAGAACATGAGAAAGCTGCAGAAAGACAGAATAGTTCCTGAGTTCAGTGCTCTGGCTGAGCACAGGGTGTGTGTGTCTGTGTTAAACCAGAAGGGGACTGAGTAACTCCATGAGTCCCAGTGGAGTTGGTGGGGCCCAACGGGAGTTGACAGGCTGAACAGCCTCAATCCATTTGCACTATTGATTTCTCACACACTGCAGCAGGCTTGATGGGGGGCATGATAAATCAGCCCCCCAGAGACAGAGAAACTAAGTGGAGAGGAGGGGGGAGGGGCTCCTGCGCCATAATTTGTGGCCTACTGAAAGAGCTGCTTGATAAGAAGGTTGGTCGGTCAACAGCCAAGGAAAAGGAGAGGCTGAGTGGCAGGAGGCAGGCTTGGGGAACGGGTGGGGTGGAGTGTTGGATTAAGGCCTTGTCTGGAACACCTCCTTCCACTGGGTTCTGGAAAGAAGGTGGGGCTGTATAGATAAGAGTTTGGAATAACTGCAACAACCACAGGGGGCACCACTCACATCACCCTCCAAAGAATGGCTTCCTCCACAGCTATATAGCATGGAGCCCCTTAAGGAGACAGAACAGGCTGAATCCTGAGGGACCACTATTCTCTACCAAATTTTCTCCCCACACACTGGCCTCTGCCTTTAGGCCTCAGAAGAGGGCTCCCTCCCATCTGAATTCAACCTGTGCTAATCACCCTGTTCCTCAGCCCTGCTCCCTTCCAGCGGCAGGGGCAATGGTGAATAACCACCACCAGGATACGCTGGTCCTTGGCATAGTAGGAATGGGCTCACAAAGGATTTGGAGACTATGGAGACCCACATCCTTGTCCTCTATCTGTCCTGAAATTATCCAGCAGCTGTGGACAAATCCCTGGCCCTCTCTGAGGCAGGGATGTCCCTTCTGCAAGGTGTTTCCACGCCCCACAGTTTGCCAGCCTGTGAATGTGTTGGAAGCTGTCCAGCACCTCCATTCACACCAGTGGCCACAGGCCACCCAAACAAACCCCAACCCCGACCTCCTTCCAGCTTGGACACAGACTCTTTCCACATGGTGGAGACTTATAAACAAACTAAGCTAGGGTTTACAGAGACCCTGCATAAACAAGCAGGGAGGGAAACTGCCTCCCTCGTGTCCCTGGCCTGAGGTCCTCCTGGCTGCAGTTAGGGAGGGAAATACAAGGAGGTGTGTGGTGGTGACCAGAGAAGAGTGGCTGAAGGCCCTAGAGCAAACCATATCCCTTTCTGGTTCCCCTCTATGAGGGGAAGGGGCTTGCCTAGGCCTTGAAAGTCCATTTAAATTCTGAGTGAAGTTGGACAGACAGCTCTGAGGGGTCCCAAAGGTCCTCTGCCCACTCCAGCTTGGGTCAAGTCCTTCTCTGCAAGGTTCTCCTGGCCAACATGCCTCTTGGCTCTAACTGCCACCTCCTGGTCTTCCCTCACTCCTCTGCCTGCCTGCTTACCCTCACCTTGGCCAGCCCCTCTGCTTGCCCCGTGCTTTTCTGCACGTCCCTTCTGCCAGGGGACAGACCAACTAAAAATAGTCCTCACAGCCTTTCTCGCCCACAGCTGCCCAAAGAGCAGGAAATGGGGGGGGCAGGGAGACCGGTGCCCTGCCCTCCCCCACCAGCTCCCAGCTCAGAACCATGTCCAGCTCTTCATCCTGGGGCTAGTGCCAACTTGGCCATCTCAGGGGCATCCCATACCCCTTCACTAAGGGAAGCCCTGCCCATAAGTACCTACAATCACAGAGCTGCCCCTGCCCTGTGGGAGGAGAAAAGAGGCAATCGGTCTAGAGGGAACCCTTCCCAATTTCTGACAAATCAGTGACAACCACATTGTGGGCACCAAGAGGGTAGGGCCTGGCTCCACTGACTGGTGTTTTGAGGGCAGGGGAAGGTTGTGTCAGTTTCCTTCATCCTGGCCTAACTGGAGGGAAGATGTACCCCAGCTTCAATCATGCTAATCCCATGCTCTCCAAAATATGTGGGTTCAGACATACAGGTTTCAATAGACACCTCCAGATGATACCATGAG